GAGGAGGGCAGGCTAGCAGAGTTGTTTGAGGAAATGGACGGACCCCGAGAGGAGGGCAGGCTAGCAGAGATTGGAGGAGGAAATGGATGGACCTCGAGAGGAGGGCAGGCTAGCAGAGATTGTTTGAGGAAAATGGACGGACCCTGAGAGGGAGGGTAGCTAGCAGAGATTGGAGGAGGAAAATGGACGGACCCCGAGAGAGGAGGGCAGGCTAGCAGAGATTGTTTGAGGGAAATGGATTTGACCCTGAGAGGAGGGCAGGCTAGCAGAGATTGGAGGAGGAAATGGACGGACCTCGAGAGGAGGGCAGGCTAGCAGAGATTGTTTGAGGAAATGGACGGACCCTGAGAGGAGGGCAGGCTAGCAGAGATTGTTTGAGGAAATGGACGGACCCCGAGAGGAGGGCAGGCTAGCAGAGATTGTTTGAGGAAATGGACGGACCCCGAGAGGAGGGCAGGCTAGCAGAGATTGTTTGGGGAAATGGACGGACCCCGAGAGGAGGGCAGGCTAGCAGAGATTGCTTGAGGAAATGGACGGACCCCGAGAGGAGGGCAGGCTAGCAGAGATTGGAGGAGTGAAATGGACGGACCCCGAGAGGAGGGCAGGCTAGCAGAGATTGGAGGAGGAAATGGACGGACCCGGAGAGGAGGGCAGAAAAGCAGAGATTCTTCTGATTTTGAGACCATGGCTCCTAAATATTATTTTTAGACAAGGCAATTTTCGCGAGCCTGAATGCTTCCCGTGGAAACGTTCAAGCTTACTGGAGGGATTGTGGTGGTCCTAAGTTAGTGTTATGAAAACTTAATCAACAGTAATTTAAAACTGATTTAACACTAAAACCGGGAAAAAAAACGATCAATAACATTTTTAGAGAGATGATTAACCGCTTTCCAGGCTGGGAAGACGGCCTAAAAGTGTCAAAGTCAGATCTATGAGCCCGGGCTATTTCCTGGATGCGAGCAAGGGCTGGACGGGCAGAAATTGGTCGGTTTATTGTGTCAGGGTAAGTGGAATCAATGAGCCGAAGAAAACGGCTGTGCTCCCTTTGGGTCGTCAGTGCTCTCCGGTTCTGGGCTGTTAACAGGGGGAGAACTAAATTCTTCCCTGTGATTCCCACAGCCTCTAATAAAATATAAACGATTTTTATAACATTTTACATAGTTTTTGGGGATGTAAAACAATATACAATATCAAATAGAGTAAAAACTTTCGAAAATTCTCGACTTTTTTGGCCAAAAATGTATGAAAAACTACCCAAAAAAGTCAGTGTTTTCGAATTTTCGAAATGAAAAAATATTTTTTAATAACTTTCTAGCAATCAAAAACTACGAAAAACACTATAAAAAAAATATATAATATTTCACCAACGTAGTTATAGGTGGAAAAACAAAAGTCGTTATTTCCAGCTGCTAACCCCCCGCTAGCGTGCCCAGAACCACGAAAAGCGGTCCTAGTCGTTCTCTCCCCCCGGGGAGGGATTTACATAGCGTATTCGGTTGGCTTTTTCCAATCGGAGATGAGGATTGGTCTCTTTAAAGGGCTCCGAACTAGCCAAATCAGAGCCCTTTGGGAGGCCTCTTTGATTTCTGGCAAATTGCCAGCGGGCGCTCCGGGACATGAGCCCTCACTCTTCGATTTTTGCGCGAAGTTGTTTTTGCCTGGTTTCTTTGTGAAAACACTATAATTCGCGCATTCTGAGCCCATTTTTAAATCCTCAATCAATTTTTAAATAGTTTTGGTGTTTTAATCACCAAATTTGGCCCAGAAACAGCCGAGAACGTGATTTCGAGGTGACAACAGGCAATTTCAAATTTGCGAGCTTCCCCGGGCCCTTGGGCGTACAGAGGCCTCCGACGTACAGGTCTCCGATTTTCGGGCCGTCACTCATTTTTGGCTTTTCGTAGCCCCTTTAAAGGGTTTGCGTTTTAGCAAACTACTTCTGCCCCTGTATCGGTGATTGCAGCGACCCGGGCGAGCACTTTGTGCCCGGCAGTAATGATATTGCCACCGGGTGCTTTTGGGTAGGTTTTTTGTCGTTTCCTCAAAAAATCTCCCCTGGCTTGCCTTTAGTATGGAACCGGCACCAGCACGCAACTTTCGGCAAGAGAAGCGTGCCCAAAACTAGAGCTGCAGTCGACGTTGGCGCAAACGAAGGATATTTCCGAAGCGCTCGCCGCGCTCAATCGTCGGCTTTCCGATTTTAAAGGGACTCGGAAGTCAAAATTCGCGGGTGCGGGGATTGAACCAATTTGTCAAAAAACGACAAGGACAAGTAACACGCCAGAAAATTGATTTCGTTGGGAAAAACGTAAAATATTTGAGAAAACGAAACTTTTTCTGGCGAAAACGGCATTTTGAGAGCGGGGATTACATGTCGTAATGCCTTGAAAGTTACCTAATCTTTCGATCTCGGCGATTCTCTGAGCAATTTTCATAATTTAAAAGTCTGGAATGATCAAAATCCGATGAGAATTGCCATAGAAATAGCGTCAGAATTTCCAAAAATGCGAGCGTTTTCACGTCCAAACAGAGGCAAAAGATCATGCGGTGCAGTCGCGTTGCGGTCACATTTGGCTATTTGCCAGGAATCAACGCTGGGGGGGGGGGGAGTGGACCAGATTTCGAACCCATTTAAGGTTTCTAAAGACCAAATAGGTGTATAAAATTGCCTTCAAAATTCCTTTAATACAAAAAAAACCTGCGTTTTTCAGCATACCGTAGCGGTGAGGGGCGTACGCTGGGTGTATGGGTTGGCCTGACAAATAACGTGGGAGTTGCGGCGGTACCGGATTGGCGATGGCTGGATGGGATCCACGAGGGTAGGGTCAGAACATGGGCATATTCTTCTAGTTTTCGATTTTTCGATGCTAATTTTCTTTAGTTTCCCTGAAAATAGATAGCGTATTTTTTCCTTGGCGTTTTTAATAGCTTTTCCGGTTGCTAGAAAGTGAAAAAGACTCTTAAAAATTTGACATTTTTCTATTTTTCTTCCTACGAGTAATAAATAGGTATTATTTTTGAGTGATTTTAATAGTTTTGAGTGCTAGAAAGTTATAAAAAACGCTTTACGCCCAAATTCTGGAAATTTGAAATTTTGATTTTTGGCCATTTTTCATACGTTTTTGGCCAAGAAAGGCATAACTTTCGAAGTTTTTAATTTTTTTAGATGGTTTTAATAGCCATTTCATAGATTTTCAGTGCTAGAAAGTTTAAAAAGCTGCGTAAGATGAAAATAAACACGAGAAAAATGATATTTTTTGTTATTATTAGAAAAATTAAATGTACGGTGATACTTGGGAAAATTGTGCCCCCCCGCTAACATGCCAGTACCGCTTAAACTCAAAAATTTGCGACTTTCCAGGATGCTGCCTCCATCTCGGCCCAATTGAAGCCGGCGAGCGACGCGGAAAGGGTGTGCGTACCTGGAAGTCGAGACGGCGGCTTTTGTACGAATACGACGAGTCGACGTGCCTCGTTGGTCGATATTTTGCGTGCAGAACGGAGGCGTGTACGAGTGACGCCTATTGTGCGCCGACGACGCCGAGTTTTGCGTAGCAGACTTTCCGATAAATCTTTTGACATCTAAAGGTCGATAAATCATAATTTAAAATAGATTTAACAGATAACATAGAAAAATCTTCCAAAAATTTCCGATCCCATAATGTCGACATGTTTTTGGTACTGGTCTCTGTTAGCGGGGGCATTTTTAGCAAGGGCGAAATACCCGTGTTCCCTTTAATCCTATAGGATCCTGTAACAAAAATATAAAGCATTCTTCTAGCATTTTACTCGGTTTTTATATATACAAAACCTCTAAAAATCAAAAATTTCGACTATTTGGTCGAAACCCCCGAATTAAAAAACTTCCAAGATATTTTTTTAACTTTCTGACAATCTAAAACTACAAAAGCGTTATCAAAATACACTATATTATTAAAAGGTAGGTTTCGAGGGGCGTCCCCCCCGCTAATGAACCAGTACCAACCAACGTTCGAAAGCCGCTTCACTCCACCAAGCCACCACATAAACGACCCAGTTTATCACCAAAACGACACAAAAGCATTTCACAAAGACATTTGAAAAACGACACATTTTACAACACATAACGCGCCAAATACAGAGGGGGGAAATGAAGGAAAAGAATGGGCAGAATCAGTGCTGAAGGAAGGAGGGATTAGCAGTCGCGTTGCCGGATGTGACGGCGGCCGTCAGCGCGCTCAACGTCGTCACAAAGTTCTTCCGGCAGCTGGGGTAGCTCTGGCGAAGCGGGCCTGAAAGCTGCAACATTCCCAGGGCGATCGATCATTTCAAAGGTTGAAAACCTTTTTAAATTTTTGAAAAAGCCATTTTTCAACTTTTTTGAAAAAAATCCTTTTAGCCGCCAAAAAAGGCGTGGGGCCACCTTTTTTCTAAGGGATCCAATCTCTAACATACGTAGAGAAAGTGTTTCTAAACTTTTTTTGGCGCTTGGCGAAACGCACCCTTTGGCCCGAAACCCTTTGGCGAAACGCAAAAACTCTACGAATTTTCATTTAAAAAACACTAAAAAAAATAGATTTTTGAACAAAAACTGGCCGTTTTCGACAAGAATTGGACCTAAAAAATCGGTTATAACTAGTTTTGATTGGTTATCTACGGAAATCAAATAGTTGGTCCCCCCGATAATGCGAAAGAACCGAGTTTTCAGAATATATTTACAAATCCAGAAAAATCTTACATCGACCCATTCCAGGCACGTCGCAAAGATGAACAGGAACTGCTGCTCCGTCTGCACCGAGCAGGCACGCTGGTCGCGCACCTTCTTGAACATCTCGAACGGCTGAAAGTAGCCAGAATGACTGCCGAAAAGCCAATCTCATACGTCGACCGACTCGTTGGCCATGCATGCCGTTTTGATCCAGTGGATGAGCATGATCGTTCCGGTGCGGCTGACGCCTGCCGAGCAGTGCATCACCGTTTGGCCCTTGTTCAACTCGTCGCCGTGCTAAAGTCAAGAGCTTTTGGACGCGAATTTCGGTATACCTTTCTCCAAAGCACGCAGAAAGCGGAGGACGCCCCGTCGGCTGGTGGGCACGCCGTGGTCGGGCCAGTCGGGCATTTGGATGAGCCTGGAAAAAAATATGTGATGCGCTGGCCAATAATTTTTTGAAAAAATGCGCAATGCTCAACTTTCGGTCATTTCGCATATTTTTACCAAAAGTAAAAAAACTGTCGACATTTATTCCTTTTTATGTGCTTTTTATATCGGAAAACCATGCAAAATTCCATAACAATAGCTTTTATTGGCTCTTTCGCATTATTGGGGCGGGGAAAAGTTTTATTTAGTTTATTTTACTATTCCCAAACGTGAAAAATTTACAAATTTTTATGAAAAAACACAAAAAACTATCGATTTTGCGACCAAAAATGGCTTTTTTGACGAAATGTCGACTTTTTAAAAATTTCACTTTCTGTTTTTCTAAAAGAAATCTTTTAGATAGGTTTGCGAGTCAAATCATAGTTCTATTTTACTGAAAAACTATGAAATACTTCCTATTAAGTGCATTTCTAGACTAATACGAAAACAAAATCGTCCCTCCCGCCCGATAAGGCGCAAGAACCCTTTATTTCGTCATAGAGCCCGACAGCATTACTAGGAAAACATAAAAGGTATTTTGCAAAAGTCCTCACCGAATAATGCGGCTGTTCGAGCACCCGTCCGGCAACAGCTCGATCGTCATGGCCGTAAAGCCCTCCTGCTTCTCTTTTTTCTTGTTGTTGACGAAGAAGCGGCCGTGATTCTGGAAGAGGCCCGGTTCGTCCGGCCAGTAGGCAGCGCACTGGAAAGAGGCCAGCATTCCGAAAAGTCGCGCGCGCTGGTCCCACCTTGTTCTTTCCGTTTTCGACGAGGCGGCACAGCTGCACAATGTTCACCACCTCGTGCTCCCAGCACATGCGCCAAAAGTCGACGATGGTGGCGTCGGTGGGGGCCTGGGTGGCGATCCACGTCTCCCGGTTGTCCATCTAAATTGAAAAATCGAATTCGCGAGGGAGGAAAGAAACTTTTTAGCTGTTGTAACCGTTTTTCAGCACAAAAAACTTGCTAAAATTCCCTAAAAGACATTCAATTGAGGCTAAAAAGTTATTTTTTTCGATGCAAAATGACCAAACGACTTTTCAAAGCTTTTTTTAAGCTTTTTCTGCGCCTGATATAGTTAAAACCTAATAAAAGCGGCAAACAAAAACCTTATAGTTGTTTATAAGGCCAAGGAAAAACCATAGAGAAAAGCCGATACCCCTAAATCAAGAATCAGGTACAAACTACCAATATTTCGCTATTTTTGCAGAATTTCTTTGAAACCATTCAATAGAGCTTCAACAAATATCCACCAAGTTTTAAATTCAGCTCAAAATAACGCAATAATTAAATAGTTATCGCAAAAACAAGCAAAATCGAACAATTTCCTCAACGTTGCCGAAAATTTGTAGTTCTTAAACGATACCTTGACCCAATTGGCGTGGATGTAGTCGCCCTCATTGGCCTCTTCCGGGGTGATCTTGACGCGGGTCTCCTCCAGGCAAACCGTGTCCTGGTACCGATTCTTGTCCGGGTTCGCGGTGAAGGCGGTGATGGCTTTGTTGGGGCCCGCGTACGGCTTCAGCTCGACCCATTTTGCACGGAGTCCGCTCAGGCCTAAACAAGTTGATAAAGGTTAAAATTAGAGAACTGAAAATCCCCAAAAATATACTAAAAAGAAAAAAACGCAAGAAATTCTAGGTATTTCTACTCTACGAGTTTTTTTCGAATTCTTTAGCCGCGCAAAGTATCGCAAAATGTTCCCCTCGTTAAATACTAGAATTCCACATACTTTTTTAAGCGACATAAATCAAGAAAAAGAAATAAGGCTTAAAAAGGAATTACAAAATCATGTAAAATAAAAAAATACGGTAAAATCCGGCCTTTTATCGAATTTTACAGCCGCGCAAAGTATCTCAAAATGTTCGCCTCGTTAAATACTTTAATGGCACATACTTTTTTTATAAACGAAACAAAGAAAGAAAAAGAAATACAGCTTTATAAAGTAAAAAGTAGTTTTGGCCGGACCGCCACGCCTTTCCCCGTCGTAAGTGTCTAGAGGCGCCTCGCGTCGCTCTTTCCCCACAAGACCATAGTTACTTTTGTTATTTTCCAATAAAAATATGTGGAATCCAAGTATTTAACAAGGAGAACAGTTTAAAACCCAGGCTAGAGCGATAAACTAGGGGTAACTAGCCAGACTAACCAGATAACCCCACTCCCAGCCGCCCCCCCATTTTTGTATCTCGCTTCCCTGTTCATCTACATGTGTGAAGTATACCAAAATGTTCGTGTTGCTCTGGCGAGCATTTCGGTATACTTTAAACACCTCTAGATAAAAAAGGAGCCGAGAAACGGTAGGTGGGGCTATCTGGAGTTCAGCCCGTAAACCTACCAAGGCCCAAGGTCAGCTTGACGAATTCGCGCGTCGAGGCGTTGGGAGGCTGCGGCGGCTTCTCTTCCTTCTTGGCTGGAGGCGTAACCGCGGGCGCTAAATTGCCCTTTCTAAAGCGCCAAATAAAATATCGAACCGGCTTCACGTGAAGCGACCTTGCGGGGCTGGGGCTTCTTCGATTTCGGAGTCGGGGGAGCCATCCGGGCGGGCGACCGTCTTGGCCGGGTTGGCGAGGTAGCACTAACGGCGACGAGGCGGCAACCATTTTCTACGGGGAAACGCATGCAAATTTGGTTTGTCGATTTCCGGAATTTAGTATGCAGATCTCGTAAGCTAATTGCGTGTCGGGGAAAAGGTATTTTACCGCCCCGCGCAACGTTAAATTGGTGTTAACTAGGTTGCCGGAATTTTACTTATTTTTCCTATAACTTTTTCGTATTAGTTTTTTACTTTTCATACATACGTACATACTTTTAAGGCGAAATTAAAGCTGTTTGTATACTTTTCAATCGATCGATTGGCCGAACGTTGTTGTGGAAACGTAGAAAGGCCTAGTAAGTTAATAGGAAGTGTTTCAATCGCGTTTTTAGTTGCGTATAACTAAATTTAAGCTAGAAAAACTATCTAATACTTTAAACAATGTTGAAAAAGTCGAAATTTTGGTAAAAACATCGGCGTTTTTTGACCCCGGGAGGAGGGCAGGCTAGCAGAGATTGTTTGAGGAAATGGACGGACCCCGAGAGGAGGGCAGGCTAGCAGAGATTGTTTGAGGAAATGGACGGACCCCGAGAGGAGGGCAGGCTAGCAGAGATTGGAGGAGGAAATGGACGGACCCCGAGAGGAGGGCAGGCTAGCAGAGATTGGAGGAGGAAATGGACGGACCCCAAGAGGAGGGCAGGCTAGCAGAGATTGGAGGAGGAAATGGACGGACCCCGAGAGGAGGGCAGGCTAGCAGAGATTGGAGGAGGAAATGGACGGACCCCGAGAGGAGGGCAGGCTAGCAGAGATTGGAGGAGGAAATGGACGGACCCCGAGAGGAGGGCAGGCTAGCAGAGATTGGAGGAGGAAATGGACGGACCCCGAGAGGAGGGCAGGCTAGCAGAGATTGTTTGAGGAAATGGACGGACCCCGAGAGGAGGGCAGGCTAGCAGAGATTGAGGAGGAAATGGACGGACCCCGAGAGGAGGGCAGGCTAGCAGAGATTGGAGGAGGAAATGGACGGACCCCGAGAGGAGGGCAGGCTAGCAGAGATTGGAGGAGGAAATGGACGGACCCCGAGAGAGGAGGGCAGGCTAGCAGAGATTGGAGGAGGAAATGGACGGACCCCGAGAGGAGGGCAGGCTAGCAGAGATTGGAGGAGGAAATGGACGGACCCCGAGAGGAGGGCAGGCTAGCAGAGATTGTTTGAGGAAATGGACGGACCCCGAGAGGAGGGCAGGCTAGCAGAGATTGTTTGAGGAAATGGACGGACCCCGAGAGGAGGGCAGGCTAGCAGAGATTGGAGGAGGGAATGGACGGACCCCGAGAGGAGGGCAGGCTAGCAGAGATTGTTTGAGGAAATGGACGGACCCCGAGAGGAGGGCAGGCTAGCAGAGATTGGAGGAGGAAATGGACGGACCCCGAGAGGAGGGCAGGCTAGCAGAGATTGGAGGAGGAAATGGACGGACCCCGAGAGGAGGGCAGGCTAGCAGAGATTGTTTGAGGAAATGGACGGACCCCGAGAGGAGGGCAGGCTAGCAGAGATTGGTGAGGAAATGGACGGACCCCGAGAGGAGGGCAGGCTAGCAGAGATTGTTTGAGAAATGGACGGACCCCGAGAGGAGGGCAGGCTAGCAGAGATTGTAGGAGGAAATGGACGGACCCCGAGAGGAGGGCAGGCTAGCAGAGATTGTTTGAGGAAATGGACGGACCCCGAGAGGAGGGCAGGCTAGCAGAGATTGTTTGAGGAAATGGACGGACCCCGAGAGGAGGGCAGGCTAGCAGAGATTGGAGGAGGAAATGGACGGACCCCGAGAGGAGGGCAGGCTAGCAGAGATTGGAGGAGGAAATGGACGGACCCCGAGAGGAGGGCAGGCTAGCAGAGATTGGAGGAGGAAATGGCGTCATTTTTTGGTCAGCAACCTTGTCCAGCTGACAAGGGAAGTGCACGACCGGCCCACGAGAAATCAACACGAGACATAGTGGATCTGATAGAATCGGACACGGAGATTCCGAATCTGTAATCAGAATTTGCTAAATAAAACGGAGAAAAAAGTTATGAAGCTTCAAAGTTGGTAAAATCGCCCAAAATCGGACCTTTATGGGCCCGTAAAAACCGGGGGAACGGAATTGAGGAGAAAAGAATTAGTGCATCTTGTTCAGCAGAAAAAGCGCTTTTGAATGAGCTGTAATACGTAGCATTTGCAAACAATTCACTAAAAAAAGTTTTTTTGAATTCACGGGCAAGGGTATGGCCTGTCAAGTTCATAGAAGAGATTTCTGCAAAATCATCGTAAACTTGCAGTAAAATAGCTCATTCGAAAGAGCTTTTTCTCCTGAACAAGATGCACTAATGGGTTGTGGAAAATTTCCATTCCGCGGGCCTTACAGGCCCATAAAAGTCCGGACGGGGCGATGCTACTAACTGGAAGCCTCATAACTTTCCCTGCTCCGTTTTATTTAGGGCAAATTTCTGATTATCGATTCGGAATCCCCGTGTTCGATTCTATCAGATCCACTCATGTCTCCTATCTATTTCTCGTGGGCCGGTCGTGCACTTCCCTGTGAGCGTTAAAACGTCAGAAAGAAAACAATTTACACGCGCGTTTTTGGCATAACAAATTGGGGGTGACGGAAGGGGCAGATTTAGGTTGTGGCGAGAGACATGGGGCAAGCGGAAGATACTGCCGAGAAACGCGAGAGATTTTGACCTTTTTGGGGCACGAATAAAATAACAGACAGTGCAGGCATAGGTATAGGCTTTGACGGGTGGAAACAGTGGGATATATAAACTGGCAATGAAGCTTCAGGAGCAGCCGAACTTCGAAGCGTCAGTTTTTTTGGTAATTTTATTTGAAATTTTAACACTACTAATGGAATACTTTTTTATTTTTCTCACTATATCAGGTTTCAAAGTATACATTTTAAATTGAGATTACAACTTTATTTCATGAAATCAAGAATAAGAAAACAATGTTTTAACCTTTTAGAGCAACAGTTTTTAGCGATTATTTAGGTTTTCTTATTACTATATTTTAATTTTCCATCTTTATACGTCTATTTTCCCCGTTTTAAAGATTTAATTTTCAGAATGAAGTGCTCGCTTTTCTTCTGCGCCGCCCTGATTGCTCTTGCTGGGGTTGGTAGGTTTTTTCGGTTCTGTTCTCTTAACGGGGGTGCTTTACCCGATAACGAAATATCTTATCATGCCCCTTTTGTAGCATACATTTTATAAAATTTTCAAATCTAAAAGAACACCTGAAAATTCCAAAATTTCCAAAATTTTCCGCTTTTGTTCCAAATCGCTAAAGATGCACAACAAGGCAAGTTTTCGAATTTTGAAAACTTTGATTTTTAAAACTTTCTAGCAATGAAAAACTACTTAAAGAACTGTAAAAAATAATTCCAGGCGGATTACTGTACGACGGACGCGGACTGTGAACGGATTATTGGGGCACGATTCGCGATTCGCGGGCCATTTGTCAGTGCATGGATAAGGCGTTTTGCACGCTGAAAGTGGTAGAGTTTCCGGAGAGAATTTATGGCTAAAATGATCGCGCTCTCTCGCTCTCTCCCTCACTCTTACTCTCTCGCACTCTCTCTTTTCCTCCTCTCTCTCTCCCTCTATCACATCTCTCTCTCCCTCTCTCTCTCACTCTCTCTCTCTCCCTCTCTCTCTAACAAAATAAAAAAATCTCATTCCAGAAAATGTAACCCCTGCCTAGGTGACGCCGACTGCAAAAAAGTTTGACATTTGTGCCCTTGATTCAGTGGTAGGTATTTTGTATAATTTGTATTAAAAATGTGGTTGAAAAGCGATCGCTAGCGAGGGATTCTTTGAGGGAATATGGACCCCTTAGGCAGGGAAGCAATTTTGAGAATTCCGTTGCAACAACCGCCATTTCAGGACCGCGCCTACTACTGCCGTCGGGATCTCGGCGGGACCGTCTCGCCCTCAATTATCCCCAGATTTAAGTTCTGCTCCCATTGCAAATATTCTAAAAAATGCGTGAATTTTTGATGACTGTACAAAGTGTAATGAATTTGCATAAATATTGATTCTTTTCAGTTACAAAACGAAACATAGGACACGAAAAACCACTTTGTCAAACAATCCGCGCTAACTTGCCCTCCTCTCGGGGTCCGTCCATTTCCTCAAACAATCTCTGCTAGCCTGCCTCCTCCAAAGATCCTCAGGCGGCCTAGCAAAGACCCTTTAGGAAGCTGAGACCTCAGCTGCCCTATAGACCTTGGCTCGCTGACCACTCGTCGGCTTATCGGGCAGCCATTCCGTCTGGGTTTCAACGCCCTGAAGCGGTTGCGGCGAGAGAGGCACGAGAGAGAGAGAGAGAGAGAGAGAGAGAGAGAGAGAGAGAGAGAGAGAGCGACTCCATTGAAAAAGTAGCCCACCCCAAATAAGTTGATGACACAGTGCTGGCCGTCCCTTGCTGCAATCGGGTTGGGTGCCCGATTTGTTGTTCGAATTTTCGACTTTAGTTATGGCGAATTTGTGAATTCTTTTTACCTTGATTTTTAAATAAGGCTTTAACCTTAATTCGATGACATTTATTCAGATGCACGCGATGTGGATCGCGACGATAATCATCGGCGTGCTGCTGCTCGGTTGTCGCGCTGCCATTCAGAATGTACGGTAGCTTGCTGCGGCCTAATGAAAATTTACAACATCTAATTTGGTAAAGGCTAGCAATTTTGGCAGTGCTGCAAGGTTTCATAGTGCAGCCCCAAAGAGCCGCGTTTCCAGAAAAGGGGAAAGCTCGGGTCAGGGGGTTAAGCTAACCTCAAACTTCGTGTTGTTCCGTAGAACTGGACCACAGAAGTTAACCCGGCGGCTATATTGGGGTAGTGGGCCAGGTGTGGGCGAGTCGCCCTGCAAAGGAAATTTGCAGTAATAAGCTCTTTAGCTCTTCACAGGGCCACTATCAGGCTAGCAGAGTGGATTTTCTAGTAAAAACCATTTTTGGGCTTTAGGGGGCAGGCCAGCAGAGACTATTGAGGGCATAAGGTATTTTTAATGCGCAATTTTTTCACCAAACCAATCCGCATAGCAGGGTTTATTCGCGTAGGATTTTCTACGACAGAGTAGACTCCGGGGAGGGCAGGCTAGCAGAGATTGTTTGAGGAAATGGACGGACCTCTGAGGGAGGGCAGGCTAGCAGAGATTGTTTGAGGAAATGGACGGACCCCGAGAGAGGAGGGCAGGCTAGCAGAGATTGTTTGAGGAAATGGACGGACCCCGGGCGGAGGGCAGGCTTAGCAGAGATTGGAGAGGAAATGGACGGACCCCGAGAGGAGGGCAGGCTAGCAGAGATTGTTTGAGGAAATGGACGGACTTTAAGAGGAGGGCAGGCCAGCATAGAGGGTTTCCCAGGAGATGGACGGACCCCGGAGCGGAGGGCAGGCTAGCAGAGATTGGAGGAGGAAATGGACGGACCCCGAGAGGAGGGCAGGCTAGCAGAGATTGTTTGAGGAAATGGACGGACCCCGAGAGGAGTGGGCAGGCTAGCAGAATGGAGGAGTGAAATGGAGCGGACCCCGAGAGGAGGGCAGTATAGCAGAGATTGGAGGGGAGGAAATGGACGGACCCCGAGAGGAAGGCAGGTCAATTTTGGGGCCTGGGGGTCAAGGTCCTTTCACTCTCCCTCCCGACGCGCCCTGTGGTGTACTGCCAAAGTGCGCGCCCCTCGAGCCCCAGCTACCCGGGTTCGAGCCCCCGGCCGGAAACAACGCCGAGTTGCAAGGATGACTATAGATTATCATTACCTTACCAACTGTTAGTGAGGAAAGGATATCTGTGAAATATTTTTGCAATGTTTTCATCGTGCGAGTAAGATCGAATGTGAAATGCTTTGGTCCACCCTTTTAAAACCATTTACCCCAAGATATCTCACGCGGCCTGCCCTCATTTTTAGTATAAACAGTGACGCCTCGGGGCTGCGCAGCAGTCCGAATCTGAGGCGACATGCACGCGATGCTGGGCGCTGGATGAACGACGAGCAGGCGGCCATAATAAAAGCGGTTGGTTTTTGTATAGCTTTTACATAGTTTTGCTTCAGATTGAATTATTTATTTTGTGTAAAAAATGCGAATCGGCGTCAGCGGCACCTGAATTTCTGCTATTAAACTTCTCTGGTCCCTGTCAACCCAAAATTTCTGCGAAACACCATTTTTGAACGGTTACAAAATATGTTGTAAGGTTGGCCTGGCGGTATAGGAAAAGCGTTAGGTTTTCGTTGCATTTTTCACAGTTTTGTGGCAGAGTGAATTATCAGGTACCTAGATAGATACCTTAATTAGATACCTTAATTATCTTAATTACTAGAGGTAGATAGATACCTTAATTATCTTAATTTTTTTAGTCTTGAGATAGGTTTATGCTTTTTCTAGAACCTGCTAGCTCTACATTAGTCCTTTCTGGTACCGTTAGCCCTAAGTTTCCGCAAAACACTGTTTTTTTACGGTTTCAACATTTGTTTCTAAAGTAGGCCTGGCAGTTATATTAAAAGAGGCAGGTTTTTAAGTTTTTTTTTTACAGTTTTGTGACAGATTTGAATAATCTTTTTCTCTAATTAAGAATTTATAGGAGTGCAAGTGCAGCAGCGAACTAGACTTTTCCGGCACTTGGTAATCCCAAATTTCCCTGAAACACCGTTCTGAACACGTTTCCAAATTGAGTTTTCTATGGTTGGCCTGGCAGTCATATGAAAGGCGTTAGGTTTTTGTAGCTTTTTCACCTTTTTTTTTTTGAAGGATTTGAGTATTGAATTTTTTTAAAGAAGTGTAAAGGGATGTGGAAGTGCCAAATATGGTACCGCGACACTTGCGCCGCGGACACTTGCGCCGCGACACTTGCGCCGCGACACTTGCGCCGGCGACACTTGCGCCGCGACACATGCGCCGCGACACTTGCGCCCGACACTTGCGCCGCGTCACTTGCGCCGCGACACTTGCGCCTGACATTTGCGCCGCGACACTTGCGCCGCGATACCGAGTTTCAGCTACTTGAAGATGCAATTTTTCGCGCGGAGTATTCTGGTTAAAGAAACGATAGAAAGATGTTTTGCGCTAGGAGTCGCTCGATTTGGAGGGAAGGTAATTGCTACTTCTTCCGCTCTGCGACTAGAAAAAGGCTTCGTGCCACCCGGGGCCTAGTCGCTTCGGATGGGTGCGAGCTCGTACAGGGTTTCGAGATCGGGGCGCCCGAGGCGCGCGTAGCGGCCAGGCGCCCCGATTTCGAAAGAGTGGAGCGGCAGCCCATCCGAAGCGACGGCCCACTTTGCCTGACGCCTTTAGGAACGCTCCGAATTGGCGTTACTCACTTTCTGTCAGCTTTTAATGCAAAATACAGTAATTACATACAAAATTCGCGCGAAATATGAAATTCACTACAGTTTAAATCAATATACGGTCCGCGGCGCAAGTGTCGGGCGCAAGTGTCGCGGCGCATGTGTCCGCGGCGCAAGTGTCGGGGAGCCCCAAATATAAGCCCTTTTGGGAGGGGCCTAATATTTCTGCCTAATTGCGAATTGTAGTGTTTTCACACAGAAGTCGCGCAAAGATCGAAAGCGCCGAGTCTCTCTCTCCTCTCGCTGCGCAGCGTAGAAGACTGTGTCTTTGCGCGACTTCTGTGTGAAAACACTACAATTCGCAATTTGCCAGAAATATAAGGCCCGTAATTATACTTGGCACTTGCCCACCGAAGGTGAATTAGACTTTTCCAGCGCTTTATAATCCCAAATTTCCTTGAAACACTGTTTTTAAAACGTGTCCAAATTGAGTTTTCCAAAGTTGGCCTGGCGGTCGCATTAAAAGTGGTCGGTTTTGTAGCTTTTTTCACCGTTTTTGTAGACGGATTTAAATATTTTGTCAAGAATGTTTTTATAAAGAAGTTTAAAAAGGTTTTGTGTCTTGACAAAGGCGGATTAGGTTTTCCGGGACTTGGTGATCCCAAATTTCCTTGAAAAACCGTTCTGAAAACTTCTCAGACTTGCTTTCTCTAGGGTGAGTGGCGATTTATCCATTAAGCGTCACGCTGCGCTTAGCCTCGCGTGTCGTGCCGCGCGTCAAATTTCGTGTGGCGTTACGTGGCGGGCTGCTCGTTTTATTTCGTGTTGCGCTGCGTGTCGCGTAGCGCGTTTCATTTGCTGGCGCGCGTTGCGTTAGATTTCGTGTTGCGCTGCGTGTTGCGTCGAGCTTAATTTCGCGTCGAGTAGCTTGTCAGTTAAATTTCCTGGCGCCTTTCGTGTGGTATTATTTCGTATCACGCTACGCGTCGCGTAGCGCGTTAAGTTTTCTGTCGCGCTGCGCAACCCGTAACGCGAACGCGTCAACTTTCGTGTCCCGTTCCGCGTTTCCTTTCGTGTGGCGTCGCGTGCGCATATCACCTGTCGCATTACATGTCAAGTAGCGCGTTTCATTTCCTGTCGGGTCGAGCACTTTACATTTCTTCATTAACCCAGAAACTATTTTATTATATTGAATTCAACATGCAGCACATATTTTTTCGACCAAAAAATGAAATTTGAAACCCCGAATTTATTAAATCCGATGGGATCGGGGCTATCACGCTTTTTCGATTTGGCAGCCGTATGATGATGTACACGCATGTAAAATAAATAGCGCGAATAGATAAATTAGAATTTAATTCAATTTTAGCTGAAGGAGAACGGGACCTCGGTGGAGGTGCAAAAGGACACGATAATGGCGTGGTATCGCGAGCTGCCGGCCGAGAAGAGGGAGCAGCTCGACGAGCACTACAAGAATGATTGTGTCGAGTGGATCAAAAAGGTGGTTAAAGGGCCCGGCAAGGCATGGCTATGGATTCTTTGGTTTTTTTTTACGCCCACGACGTTAACGCCCACACCTACATCTTTTAACTGCGTAAATGGTTACAGCCTTTTCACAGAGTCCATGTTGCGTGCGCGTCGCGTGTCGCGGCGTGGAAAAATCGGTAAAGCTATGCGTTTTCATGGCCTTTAAAGAGACCGTAATAACGGCGGATCGAGCGAGATACTCCGTAAAATTACTAAAACACGGATAGAAGCTTGGTTTAGTAAGCTTATACCTTTTAAAGGCCCTGGAAAAGCAAACGCGAGAATCGACCCCTCCCCCTCAACTGGATCTAGACAATTACACTACGTTGCAAGTTACGCGATAAGCAGAGGCGTCTCACCAAAATTATGGATTGCTATGAGCCAAAATCGGAGCTTCTCAAATGTCATTTGAACCATCGCGTAGCTGTCTAGACCTAGCCGAAACAAGGGGTCGATTTTCGCACTTTCCAGTGTCTGTAAAATGCCAAAACTTATTGTGGAATGTTGCAAGCAATTTAGCAAAAAAGTGTTACTTGTTTAGGTGGCTACCACCGAAGAAATCGCGGAATTGAAAGTTCTGCATGAGGAGGGGAACGACAAGGAGATTTTGACTAGGTTTTGTTTTTTATTGGTTGTTGGAGTTTGTCGCTTGTAGTTTATGTCTTTTATAACATCTTCATGATAAGTTAAGGTTAAATTCATTTAATACCATGTTAATTTAGGGTAGCAGACTATAAGGGCCGGCTCGACGAGAACACGCGGAAATTGGTCGACGCGTGGGCGGTGAGCCACAAAATTCGCAACTTTTTCAAACTTTTGTCTCACACAAATAAGTAAAAACTAAGATGCCCAACGTAGTAAAAGAGAAAAATAAATAAACCTAATTTTGAGACCGAATGCAAAAGCCCTTTGGTTCAAGAAGAAGGACAGAAAACGCAGGGATTTACTTGAGGTATCGCTGAGTTTAACTTTAATTTAATTGTTTTTCATAGGATTTCGCTTTCTGGCTGAACGCCGAGCAGCTGGAGGAGCTGAAGAAGGAAAAGGTATTTAACGATTAGAAATAATTCAGATTAATCAGCATAAACCACAATCAATTAAGAGGATTAAGTCATCATAAATTTAAAAATAGTTTAAACGATGTAAAAAATTTATTATCGATGAAATGAACTCAGGGATTGTATAGATTTCGAAACTGGAGATTTTAACTGAACGTTCCAAAATTGAAATGTTTCAAAATACATCAAAAATCGTTTTTTCGCAATTCATTCAATTGGCCTTTAGGCAGCCGGAAAGTCGCCGGAAGACCTAAAAAAGCGCGTGATGGAATATTTCGAGCAGCTGCCCCAGGAAAAACAGGACGAAGTGAAGGAACAGGCAAAAGGTATGGTAGTTTTTCATTTCACGCCTCCATTCCATAGCGCTTTTGCTTTTTCCTTTTTTGTTTTCCATATATAATGGATTTTAAAAGCGTATCAGTGGGTTGGGCTGCCCTGCGTACCGCGCCTGTTGTTCAATCAAGACTACCGTAATCGATTACGCCATGTAAGAGCAGTGCGTACCGCGTTGTGTACTACGTTGCGTACTGCGTTGCGTGTTGCTGCGCCGTGCCGCGCGTGAGGTCGCTTTGTGCGGTGCGTGCTACACGTTGCTTTGCGTATTTTTGCCGTACTTCCTTGCGGGTTGCGTTGCGTGTAGCGGCGTGGAAAATGCGGAAGAGATCCGTGGCAAAAATCGATAACTATATGCTCTCAATTACATCCAGTCCACCAATCCCAGGGTTCGTGCCACTAAATCGAAGATCACATCCTTTGAAGGGTACTTTACCTGAAACATAAATTCCACTAGAAATTAAATTGCTACTTCAAAAAAAATCGATTTTTATCACGAAAAAACGTGTTTCTTTTTTATATGAATATTTTGTATGCTTTAAAAGGGACAACTCCTTAAAAAAACATCGACATCCCACATTAATCGATTACGCTAGGCAAATGCAAGCACTACTTCATGGCGCTATCTACGGAAGATGAGGTGAAGAAGATCAAGAAGCTGAAGGAGGCCCGAAATGTTGATGAGGTGCGAATTTTAGAGGCTAGCAGAGATTTTTTGCGGAAATCCACCCGCGAGGGGGACAGGCTAGCAGAGTCATTTAAGAAATACAGAATTTCGAATTCTGAAATTTTTCAGATCAAATCCATCATCGAGGGTGTGATCGATCGTCAGGAAGGGGACAAGAAAACCGAGGCTACAAAATACAAACAAGTAGTTACCTTGTTTTTAGCTGAAAGAATTATCTGTTCAGATCTGCAGCGACATCTACGAAAAACAGTCTTCCCGAAAGCGGAAGGACATTGATGCGCTGATTGAGAAGCATCTCTCATGGCTAGAAGAGGGGCAGAAGGATGAGATCCGGAGTGAGTTTTTCTCAAAGAATCTCTGCTAGCCTGCCCTCCTCTCGGGGTCCGTCCATTTCCTCCTCCAATCTCTGCTAGCCTGCCCTCCTCTCGGGGTCCGTCCATTTCCTCCTCCAATCTCTGCTAGCCTGCCCTCCTCTCGGGGTCCGTCCATTTCCTCCTCCAATCTCTGCTAGCCTGCCCTCCTCTCGGGGTCCGTCCATTTCCTCAAACAATCTCTGCTAGCTTGCCCATTTTAGCGATGAAGGCGGCCGGAAAGTCGAACGCGGAAATCAAAGAGAAAGTGATGGGATATTTGCAGAACCTGGACAGCTCAAAGAAGGAAAAGACGAAGCAGCAGATCACCGAGTTAGCTTTTTAAACGTTTTTAATATATTAAATTAAAGGGAGGGCGGAAGGGAGAGTTATAGAGATTAACTGCACTAAGAAGCAATGCCGAAAATAATTTTTGATTTGAGCATAAAGTTTGATGAAACATCGTTTTAAAGTATGGACGGGGGTATCATGATTTATAGGCATTTCAATAGTATCATCTTGGAATCTAAAAAGCTAAAGCAATACTTGCCTTCACAAACCCTTTAGAAGTTGTTCCGAACAAAAAGACGAAGCAGCAGATCACCGAGTCAGGCTTTAAAAATTAAAAATTAGATCAAGCCCAGAAATTATCAAAAATAGATCAAATAGATCATTAATAGATTAAATAGAAGAAAAATAGATCAAAAATTAAAGATTAGATCAAGTTCGGAAACCCGATGGCTAAATTCTCCTATATTTTTTGAATTCTAGTATCAAATTAAGCGAAACATGGTTTTTCGGCACCGGTCCCTTTCTCGCTTTAGTTTTTTTCTGTCGTATTGTCTCGGAATCTCAAACTCTATAGCAATGCTTGCCTTCAAAAACCCTTTAGAAGACGTCAGGAAAAAAACGAAAAGCAGAAAACCAACTTAGCCCTTAAAAATTAAAAATTCGCTCAAAAGCAGACTTGCCTCAGATTCTCCCCGATTTTACGAATTCTAGTATAAAATTTGTTGAAACATGTTTATAAAAACAGCTTTTTGTAAATTTGTAAATTTGATTTTGTGCATTAAATTTGTGCTGTAAAATAATTTTTGCCATCCTTTCCACTCGGAACCGCGAAATCTATAACAATCCTGTCTTCACAAACCCTTTAGCGACTGCTACGCCTGGCTGAAAAAGGCGGCCAGCCAAACGGAAATCGACGCCCTGCACAAAATGCACGAGACCGATCATGCTGGCTGCAAAAAGACGGTACGTTTTTAAATCATTAAATAAGTTATACAAACATTTTAAATACAATTAATTCTAGATAAAAACAGCGTAAAAATTTATCTGGTATCAAACTCTTTTAGTTTCATTTCAGTGCACCAAAAAAATTCCAAAATTCAGGTCCGCCAATACATCCTCCGATTGCCGGCCGACGAGCAGGAAAATGTTAATAGGTATCATTAAACCGTGAATTCAATATGAATTCATTAATTCTTAGAAATCTCCCCTTCTGTGAGCGAATCTGGTATGGGGATCATGATCACTCTCACCATCAACATCACGGACATCATAAGTATGTGAAGGGGCAGGCTGGCAGATATTCTTTGCCGGTCAGGATGTACTGTAGCTTTGCCAACGGCTAGCCAAATTCATTAAATTTCGGCTATCCAAAAATTAAAAAAAACATCAATAACAAAGCTTCATAGTGCAGCCCGAAAGAGCCGCGTTCCAAAATTTGCGAGTTTCCCGCAAAGGAAAGCTCGGGTTAGTTGCTAACCTCAAAGCTGTGTTGTTCCGTAGAACTGCCCACAGAAGTTAACCCGGCAGCTATGTTGGGGTAGTGGGCCAGGCGGGGAGCGAGTCGTCGTGGAAGGGAACGCGCGAAGGAGTGTAGCTCTTCAGAGGATAGCAGCGATCATTTTCTAGTCATAATTTCAATTTTAAGCTTGGGGCAGGCTAGCAGATACCATTGGGGAGCAGGCTAGCCAAGAGTTTTTGGAAAATTCTGGAACCGTTCTTTAACAAATGTTTCAGGATGAAGCGACACCATTCGAAAACAGGGCTACACAGTCACAGGTCCCACTTTTTGTTGAGCAATTTATTTTGTGCGGATTATTAATTTAGAGATTGAATTTTGTAGAGATTCTATATAAAATTTTACTACCTCGATTTTTTAGGCAACCTTAAAGTTTCAGATATGGCCAGATGACCGAACTGCAGAACCCGTTCTAATAGCCATTTTTCATTGCATTTCTTTTAATTTTATTTAACACTTAAATAAATTCCGTTTGAATGTTCTTACTCATATCTATTTATTATAATTATTAATATTATTATTACACGCAAATTAAGATAATTATTACAACGCTATGTTAATGCGGAATATTCGGGCGGTGGAGAGCATTTTCGGAGCAGCGGCTCTTGGTCGGCAGGCTAAAAAAAGGTGGAAAACTAACACAACTTTATTTAAAGTTTCGATAGCTTGAATAGATGCTCTAAAACTAGGATACTACAAAAAAACTATAATAATTTGTAAAAGCGTTTTTTCCTTGAAATTTGAAAAATCCGTTTCAACCGAAAATCCGTGGTTGTTTATATGCCCTAAAAATCATCGATTTTCAGGCTAATAGAATAATGCTAGCAGTATACAAATGAATAGAAAAATCAAAAACATAAACTTAATTTATTTAAAAAATGAGGTACTCAAAAAATATGTTTCAAGTGGAAACCTGCCTTTCAAACATTTTTTCCTCACAATTAGACTTTAGTTTCCGCAGCAAAAAATTCCACCTGTTCCCCCTCGTTCTCCACTCTTCGCCATAACCATAGCACCAATACAGCCATTCCCGTTGAAAATAAGGTGATGCAAATCAGGTATTCGCGCAGGAAATGGCCAAAAGTGAATGGAGAAATTGAAGCGAGGAGGCCGAGTAGAGACCATGAGGCCATCATTGCCAACTGAAATCAGCAGGATTAGATTCCTCAAAGAATCTCTGCTAGCCTGCCCTCCTCTCGGGGTCCGTCCATTTCCTCAAACAATCTCTGCTAGCCTGCCCTCCTCTCGGGGTCCGTCCATTTCCTCAAACAATCTCTGCTAGCTTACCTGTCACCTGCCGTTACCAGAGAATTCAGCGGTAGAAGATCGGTAGCGGAAGAACATAGGGTGATCGCCGCAACCGGAACCTCGATGACACGTTGTAGGAATGCATTTAAATAACCTGAAATTAACAAAATAACATTTATATATTGACGAGGTGTAATTTTTATAGGATCTCTGTTTAGGAAGACCACAGTTGTTGCAGGCTTACGAGATTTTTGAAGAGATGTGTTTCGAAAAATCTGGCCGTTAAGTCAGTGCCTAGGAATGTAATTTTGGTTTCATTTCGTGAAGATTTCATTTCATTTCATTCTAACAAGGAGTCGTTTTTGGGTGATATTGGAGTTTTTGAACGAGAGAGAGGCTAGTTCGATAGAGAAAAAAATTCTGAACAAGATGTCATTTTCCAAATCTGCTAACCGTGTACGCTGTTCAATAAAAATTAATTTGAAAATCATTAATCTAACCATCATTTTCCGCCTGATCCGCAGATTCTGCGCTCGGGGTGCGCGTCGACATAGCCCCCCATAGGCCTCCCTCCAGCCATGACCAGCTGGCCTATTGGTAGCGCGCTTGCTTCATAAGTTTTTGTCTTTTTTTGCCAGCGGGTTCGACTCCTCGCTAGTACAACTCTTTGCTTTTGCTCGATAATGCCAAATTCGATTTCAATGGCATGAAAAACCAAAAAGCAAAACAATAAATCACAATAAGTTCCGAACCCTGGGCATAATTTTGCAAAAGCTTGATAGGCGCCGGCACTATCCACTAGGCCACCATCTCATGCGGATGCTGGTTCGCGCTGTGGGCTATGTCCCGGGCCTGATCCATGGGTCGCAGCCTGACGTCCAGGAATTTTTCATTAAAATTAATTTTTATTGAATACAGTACGCGGTTAGCAGATTTGGAAAACGACATTTTGTTCAGAATTTTTTTCTCTATCGAACTAGCCAGGTCTTGTTCAAAAACTCCAATATCACCCAAAAACGACTCCTTGTAAGACCTACTCAATCCCCAGAACTGCACTTGTCCATTAATAAAATGGAGGGTAGTTTTGAAAATCAAGAATCCAAGCAACATCATCACAACTCGCTTCTTCCCCAGCCGATCCACAGCCAGAGGGCCGAACCAAGAGATTGGGATTGTTATGATGAAGTTGAGGAGGATCATCGCTAGCACCTGAATTGAGTCATTCAGGGGCTTCAAAATTTTGTCCATGACCCTCAAAGTACGTTTCAAGTAATGACCAGATGCGACCGCAACGCGACCGCGCCGCCTCTTCTTTTGGCCCTGTTTGGACGTGAAAATGCTTGAATTTCAAAATTCTAAAGCTATTTCTGTATTCCTCTTAAATTTTGATCATGTTGGGGGACGTTTTAATTCATGGAAATGGACAGGGTAGACAGGACCAGTGAGTAGCACCGAGATCAAGTGGATTGGGAGTCTTGCAGGGTATTACGACATGTAATCGCCGCCCACTCAAAAAGTCGTCTTTGCCTCCAGAACTTTCAGTTTTAGTCAAATATTTTACTTTTTTTTCGCACCGAAACCACTTTTTTGGTGCTTCTCGGCAGCTACCTTTTCGCTTTTCGACCACTAGGTTCAATCCCCTGCTGTCGCGAATTCTGACCTGCGACCCTTTAATAGGGAGGCAGGCGGCAGGAGCTCCTTTCGGAGATCGCTTGACCCTTTTATTAACGACTCATCCCCTCATCAAAGACACACCGGAATCGGAAAGCTTTATCTCGATAATGTTGATGTTGGCGAGTAGGAAGTTGTTTGCAACACAATAATAGGAAGATTTTCTAAAAATAAACCTTTTTTTAAGATAATAATGATCACTCTGATCTCACATTGATCCCGTTAATTTACCATAATGTTAATGCCTCACATACCATTATCTCATTACTCCGAATCCGCATTATCAGGGGTTTAGCGCCGCACCTGGGAGAGTATTTTGAAACCCATTTTTCTACAGTACTAATTTTTGACTGACCAACCGCCAGCAAATTGCAAACGGGTTTTTTTACTCATTTATAAGGCGTTTAGGTACACATTCTATTGGCTAAAAATACTTAGACACGTACCTTCTCGTCCCATTGCCCGCCTTGGAAAATACCCGTAAATTTGCGGAAATGCTGTGCAGAAAACTGAGATCGTGCTTTCTGGAGTTGAAAAAGTATCATTATCTACATTTATGGAAAAGATACCTTTACATTTCCCAGGGCTATCCGGCAAGAATAGACCGGCGAGCAGGACGAAAATGTTTAGAAACTGAAACAGTGGTTTTAAACCTAAACCAAAAGTTTCTCAAACAACCCTGTTAACCTGCTCCTCTCAGGCTCCGAATTTCAAGACCTCTAGGCAGCTCCCTTCCTGGGGTCCGTCCATTCTCCTCCAAACACTAGCCTGTCTCTCCTGGTCCAGTCTATTTACCCTCCTCCAATGCTCCTGCCCATCTTCGTCCATTTGCCTCAATCTCTGCTAGCCCTCCTCCGGTCCGTCCATTCACCACGCCTGCTCCTGTTCTCCTCTCCAGGTCCGTCCAGTAATATCTTTCACCGCTAGCCTGCTCCTCTCCGGTCCGTCCATACTCTGCTACACCTGTCCCTCGAGGTCACCATCTCTAAAGCTGCCCTCCTCCCCGGGTCCGTCCATTTCCTCCCTCCACCCTGCTAGCCTGCCTCTCGAGTCCAGTCCATTTCCTCAAACATCCTCTGCTAGCTTGCCTTACCTCGGCGAGCACTGCAATGCGGCCCCAATTCTCCGGTGTTCCCCAAATATCTTCACGTGCCAAGATCAGGCAAAATCCCGCGAAGACACCAGCAAAAGAAAGTACAGATGCCGTGAAGAAGCCTGGAATTCCATATCGTAACGAGGTAACAAAAATTATCAGTTGCTAATTTCAACAAAAACATGTTTCAGCGTCTCAGGACATCAACAATGGGATCGAAAATCTAATCGAATTCTATCTGGCAGCACCTTTATGTTCTTTCGGCGCGATTTCACTAATGAAAATCGGGTCGGCCAGGTCGAGGATGGCCGCCGAGACGACGACAAACGTCAAGCCGAATAGGTAGAAAAGAGCATTCTGCAGCGCCCAGGCAGCTATCATTAATGCCACGCCCACTGACGTGAAGAGGAATCTAGAAATTATTCATTTAGCTGATTTAGCTAAAAGAAGGTAGTTTACTCCACTTAATATATACACGAATAAATTTCGCCAAAATAGTCCATCAACGGGATGAGGGTCTATGATGGAGAACACCATGCCGGACATGGCGATCCAGGTAGCACCAGAGAGGAGAAGAGCACCACTGAAATGGGGAGACTAAAAGGCAGGCTAGTAGGAGATGTTTAAGTGGACGACCCCGAGAGGAGGGCAGGCTAGCAGAGGTTGTTGGAGGAAATGGACGGACCTCGAGAGGAGGGCAGGCTAGCAGAGATTGTTTGAGGAAATGGACGGACCCCGAGAGGAGGGCAGGCTAGCAGAGATTGGAGGAGGAAATGGACGGACCCCGAGAGGGAGGGCAGGCTAGCAGAGATTGTTTGAGGAAATGGACGGACCCCGGAGAGGAGGGCAGGCTAGCAGAGATTGTTTGAGGAAATGGACGGACCCCGAGAGGAGGGCAGGCTAGCAGAGATTGGAGGAGGAAATGGACGGACCCCGAGAGGAGGGCAGGCTAGCAGAGATTGGAGGAGGAAATGGACGGACCCCGAGAGGAGGGCAGAAAGCAGAGATTGGAGGAGGAAATGGACGGACCCCGAGAGGAGGGCAGGCTAGCAGAGATTGTTTGAGAAATGGACGGACCCCGAGAGGAGGGCAGGCTAGCAGAGATTCTTTGTGGAAATCGAAGAAGGACCCACCCATCGTGAAGTCCCAAAAATTCGGTGTTTTGTCTTGTTGAACAGCACCATCAGCGGCGCGTTCAGCGAGGAGTAAGGGACTTAAAACCGCCTTATTCTTTACCAAATGAGGGCGTTAACTCTGTAACCCAGTGATTAATGAAACCTATGTATGAAAAAAATGGTGATTTTTATGACGTACAATACCGTATACTTGAACCCCCCTACCCTGGCCATCATTGCGCTGGCGCCACTCGAGAAGCCGTAGAGATGCATCGCAGCAGAAATGTCCGCGGACAGCCCCTGCCGAATGGATCTGTAATTTTAGGAGCTCAGTAACTGAATAAAAGTTTAATAAATAAGTTGAAACGTTAATTTCTCTTGTGATAAAGCAGTACTCGCCTCTGCTACAAAGGAACAGCCCTAAGCGCACCGCCCGTGAAAAGAACAGAGCGCGCTCGTGCCCAGGCTAAACGCAAAAATACTACGGTCGGGTAGCACAAAAGTTTTATAAAGTTTTTAAGATTCCAGTAGTAAAAGTTTTGCTGGATGATTTCGAGGTGGTTTGGCATGTTTGCCGGATTAACCATCCCTCAGACCGAGGAGAAATTGCGCTGATCTTTAAAGGTTTTGATGTTGTTCGGCCTGAAACATAGACGGGGAGTTTGTAGTCTCTCGGGAACCTTTTGCTTTAGTGATTCTATATAATTCGCTTATATATTTGTCTAGCTTTTTAGATTTGATTTTGGCAGCAACTATTGGGAATTTCTTTACGTTTTTCGTGGCGATCGAGTTTCCACACGGGATTCAGCCGAATTTGAGCAGAATTTTGCGCTGATTCCGCCATTGTTTGCCAAATCAGCGTTCGCTGTTCTGTTTCAATCGAATTAAAATGTTGCAAAGCTTCTTTCTCAACGCGCGAAAAAGGCAAAATGGCCCACTTCGATAAATCTCGCGCGGGGGTCACCGAAAAGCCATAAGTTCCCCGCCTTTATAAGCCGTTTGGCGCCTATAAAACGAGTTTCGAAAACAGCCCAAAATTTCGCGGTATCTAGATTGTTCCTGCGTTCAAAAACCTTCCTTTCGTTAGTATATTTTTACTGAATGACTGTCTTGGAATATTTTCGTGATATTTTTATACCTATTTCACGCATAAGAATAAGCTCTTATTCCCACC